TTTACCTTTAAGATAGCTTTGGGAGCTAAAAAAGTTGAAACTGCTGGTGGCTGATGGGAGTCTTTCCTCCTGACCAATTATCAGTCATTTCTAAGAATTGACAGCAGTTTTGACCATTGAAAAGTGAGATCAACTTGTGAACCCTACCTTAAGATGTAAAGACAGAGCTCTCTTGTTCTCTTGGTTTCCTGGCTGTGAAAGGTAACTGAGCTCCAGCTGGCTTCCCGTTCCCCTGCCCAGGCCATGTGGCCCGGGCAGGGGCTGGGCTGGGCCTGCCGCAGCTCCCGGCCGGGAGATGGGGCCTGTGGGGCTTGCCCCGGGCTCTGTCTGGGCCAGGCCGGTCTCTGGCTCGGCTGCAGTTTTTGCCGTGACGGAATTCACCAGAAACTGCAGAGGAAAGAAAGAAAAAGCTCTTGACCTGCGGCAAGCTGAGACAGTGACCACACTCTCCAGAGCAGCCATGAAGAATCTTCCATCGCAGACAGCTCCCGCTGCTGCTCCAGCAGAGATCACAGAACCATCTACAAAGCCTGGGCAAGATTTTAACCCTTTCATTACCCAGATGAGACTTGCAGATTAATCTTTTTTTATCCAGAGAAAGAAAGAGTAATCAACATGTAAAGAGACTTTATAAACTATCAGAGACAGTAATGAAAAGAATTAAGCTTCAGAGAAGGTGAAGAATAAGGAGATGCTTTATAAGCTGAAATATTTTTCTGTTAAAGCTATGGAGAAAAAACTAATTTACTTCATGACAGAGTATATAGGGAGGAATAGAGTGTTCAAAGTGTAAATTTTGAGTAAAAAGTAGAGTAATTGTGATACAGTGAAGTGCTAGAACAGAGTAAAGCGAAAATCTGAAGCCTTGGGGGGCAATGACAAAACTGTTTTCCAGTAGAGCTCAGAAAGACAGATGAAGAAGACTTTTGCTTTTGAATAACTCATCCTTAAAATGACATCCCTAAACTCATGGCCCGTACACACCTCAGAGTGATGTGAAATGGGAGGAGTAAACTCTGATGACAGATTTCAGGGCAGCTGGCATCAGGAAAACAGAATTCTATAGCAAGAAATAGCTTTCTTGTGGAAAACTCCATAGATTAGTGGAAGAAAACTTCTGTTTCTCTACAAAGACTGATGAAAAGACTCTAGCAAGAATTGGGACTGTTTTAACCACCAAAGTTCCAAAGTTTTTGTCTCTATGTTGTCATGTGAACAAATGAATGGTAGGTAGTGGGGGATAAAAAGGGTTTTCTGGAAGTTTGTTCTGGTGTTCCTATTCTTGTAGTTTGTTAATAAAATTTCTTTATTCCTTTTTAAGTTTTAAGCCTGTTTTTCTCTTGCTCTAATCCATATCTGACAGCAAGAAATAAGTAATTTTTTTAGTTACTGGTTTAAAACCACGACAGAAAGGAAATAGAAAGGCATTTTTCAGATCTTCCTTTCCTAATCCTAAAGTGATTTCTAACCTTTCTAACCTTAACACAATTTGGAAGCTTTGGAGAAACACAGTTTAAAAACGGAAAGAGCTTTAAAATGAAACTTAGTTGCAAAGTTCATATCAGACTTTGAAAAATGGTATTCATCAATTGTCGTGGTTTTAAACCACTAACTAAGAAAATTACTTACATCTTGCTGTGAGATACGGATTAGAATAAGAGCAAAACAGGCATACAACTTAAAAGGGAAAAAAAAAAAGAAAGTTTATTGACAAACCACAATAATAAGAACACCAGAATAAACTTCCAGAAAAACCTTTCCATCCCCTATCTACCCACTATTCCCTTGTTCACATGACAACAGAGACAAAAACTCTGGAACTCTAATGGTTAAAACAGTCCCAATTCTTGCTAGTCTTTTTACCAATCTTTATAGAGAAACAGAAGTTTCTTCCTGTTAATTTATGGAGTTTCTCACAAGAAAACTATTTTTGTTATAGTTTTCTATTGCCCTAATGTTAGCTGCTCAGAGCTGCTATTATTAGAGTTCACTCCTCCCATTTTCACATCACTCTGAAGTGTGTATGGGCCATGAGTCTAGAGATAGCATTTTTAAGGATAAGTTATTCAAAGGCAAAAAAAAAAAAAAAGTCTTCTTCATCTGTTTCTGTGAGCTTCACCAGAAAACAGTTTTCTCATGGCCTCTCAGGGCTTCAAATCTCTCAACAGTTTTCTCATTGCCTCTCAAGGCTTTTAATCTCCCAGCACTTCACTATACTATAATTACTCTTTACTCAAATTTACACTTTGAACACTATTCCTCTCTATATCCTGTATCATGAATTAAAGGAGTTCTTTTCAGGACTTCATTGTCCATCTCCATAGTTTTAACAGGGAGATATTTCAGCTTAATTAAAGCATCTTCTTAATTCTCTACCTTTCCTGAAGCTTCTTTTCTTTCTTGTCACTGGTAGTTTATAAAGTCTCTTTTCATGTTGATCTCTCTCTCTCTCTCTCTCTGGATAAAAAGATTAATCCGCAAGTCTCATCTGGGTAATGAAAGAGTTAACATCTTGCCCAGGCTTTTGTAGATGGTTCGAGGATCTCTGCCGAACAAGAGCTGGAGCCGTCTGTGATGGAAAGTTCCTCATGGCTGCTCTGGAGCGTGTGGTCGCTGTTCCAACCCGCTGCAAGTCCAGGGCCTCTCTCTTTCTTCACTGGGCAGTTTCTAGTGAATGTAGTTACAGCAAAACCTGCAGCCGAGCCAGAGATCGGCTCGGCCCGGCCCGGGCCCGAGGAAAACCTTCCCCAGGCCCCCCCATCTCCCGGCCGGGAGACACGGCAGGCCCGGCCCCATCCCTGCCCGGCCACATGGCCTGGGCAGGGACGGGAGGCCTGGAGCTCCGCCACCCTCCACAGCCAGAAAACAAAAAGAACCCAGAGAGCTCTGCTTTTACATTTTAAGGTAGGGTTCACAAGTTGATCCCACTTTTCAATGGCCTAAACTGCTGTCAATTCCCAGCAATGACCGATAATTGGTCAGGAGAAAAGACTCCAAGCACTTCCCAGCAACTCCAACTCCCTTAAAGGTAAAGTAACTCCATGACATCAATGGAATCTTAAAAGAAAAGTTCCTGGAGCCTTTTTGCTCAAAGGTTTGAATCATTCTGAGTGTAGATGGGTGTCTGAAAGCAATGTGTAAGTAAAGTAATATGTAAGCAATGTGTAAGTAAAAACAAGAAATAAATAAAGCAAGTGAAAATTAAATAGTTGACTTTTCTTGTCATCAGTTTTGAAGAAAGGAAAAACAGATCAGGACTTGTGTAACTTTGCTTGTTCTCCCTGTGAAGAAAAAGTGCAAGGAACTTAGGCATGGGAGATCTTAAAACTTTAACACTGGTTTGCAGCAGCAACAACTGTTCTTGGTGCACATTAAAGCTTCTGTAGGTTTGTTTAAGTGTTCTGTATCAGTTAAGAAAGCATCATGTATTTAAGGGATACCATAAAAGCTGTAGCTTTTCTAAAGTTTTTCTCACCCTTTAAAACTCCTCAGAAAGACATGAAGAGAGCTTTTGGAACTTACTGTGTTGTGTGGGTTGTGTGCTCCAGGCTTCATCTCCTCTCATCTTCAGGCTGGGTGATCCAGTTTGGAATAGGGCTCCAGCCTGGAGCGCCTGAGAGCTCCTGGAGCCCCTTTGAACAGCTCAGGCTCTGTGAGGCTGCTAAAGGAGGCTGGTGCTTGCAAATATAACAACTGAATCAAGGCAGGAGAGCACCTTACTTGCACAGTTTTGTAACAGGAAAATCCTCTGGAGTATGTGACCTTTATTTTGGTGGTGGTTTCTCTTCTTACAGAAAATACTAGAGACAAGAACAAACCTCAAGCCTCATCTCATGTGTATCGTCACACCTGTAAAAAGAACGTGGTGGATGATGACACTGCTGCAGAAGTGGAAGTATCTAAGCTGAAGAAATGTGGAGAACATCTGAATTCCATACTTGCCCACTGGGACCCAGTTTTCCTGGCACTGCCCTCCATACAAGGAGGGGAGACCCTCAGACCTGGCTGAGACAGATAGACCCCAGCTTAGACCCTGGGGCTGAGGCAGTGGCTGTCACCCATGTGTCCACTCACATAGTCACGAAGTGGCTGCTGAGGTCCCTGGCTGGGCAGAACTTCCTCAGGACGTGACTCCAGCACTGAGGTGGCTGGGGAATCACGTCCTACCGCACCTGGCAGCCACACAGGAAGTGCTCAGGGATGAGGCAGCAAGGAACAAGCTCTTCAAACTTTACACCCAGCTCTGCCAGCCCAGCAGCACCTCAGCTGGGCTCTCTGGGGAGCTCGTTGTGCTCAGCTCCATCACGCTCCAGCTCATGGAGGAACAGGGACTGTCCAGCACCTTCCACAAGCTTG